AATCTAATGCATGTACAGTGAGAATGAGAAAGGGAATGTTGAATGTCCATTATGGCATGAGCTGTGTAACATATGTTCTTTACTGCAGGACAATTCAGACTGCCTTCTCACGATGTGTGTTTCGTATTTCAAGTATTACGAGTCAGTCAGTCAGTTGCAACGTAGAACTTCGCACGTATGTACATAAGTTCATGTTGCCATACCACATTATTAGCACAGAGACGCAAATGTCAAATCGAATCCCATAGTGATGAAGATAGTAGTGGTATTAATGTTATTAAAGAAGACTAGAGTTCGAAGATATTATTCAAAAAATATAATTCAATGAGATAAGATTATAAAGACAAAGGCAGAGGTATTGACGAATCCACAAGATTAGGATTTGAGAGAGCTCAAAGAATGGATGCACCTGCGCCATTGCAAACGATTTTGAGCCATGTCGTTCAAGGTCTCTAACCATTGATGATTTTCGTCTCGCGGACCCCAACCAGGTAGTCTGCATCTACCAAGTATTACGAACGGGCAGTGCTTTCATGCTCTCGAAACCTATCATCTCTTAACTACTCAGGCCTGAAATCAAACTCAATACAAAATAAAATGACATTTGCAATAACCGTCTGTTCAATTTCACTATTTAATAATGGAAAAGAATTTATTCCAAATGGTAGCACTTTGCTTTGATCTGTCAGCAAACTCATCAGCATAAATGTGTGAATTGAGGATCTGTATAGTAATAAAATATTGTGAAAATATTCCACCTGCTCACTTATTAAAACTCATTATCATTGACGATTGGTTTTCACAGTGATCATGCAAAGACAATGTGATGTATAAGGCATTCAAGTGATATTTAGTTTTATTAGAAAATTGTAAAAGTATTATTAGATTTGGCACATTGGTTCTTTCACCTGGCTCTTATGAGTTCAATGTGATGTTGACTAACTGTCATGATGTTGGCAACCTGTTATATTTCACGTAATTATCAATGTACATTCAGGTTTCTTTTGTGTGCAGATAATGATGCAAAGCTAAAATGAGACTGGAATTTGGCACCAGAGTTTGGCAGGCTTTCTTATACGGCTGTGCGGTATAATTGCAGGTTACTCACATACCTACTCACTTACGTCTACATGATGTTCAATGAAGCATAGGCCGCCGATCAGCATTTTCCAACATACACTGTCCTAATCCACGCTTCCTGGTTCCACCTAATCGCTGTTCAGTATTTTCACATCTGTCTACAATTTTCATTGAAGTGTATTTCTTGCTCCACCCATTTGATTTCTCCATGAGAATGCCAAGTGAACACTTGCAATGCGACTCACTTCGCTGATTCGCGCAACCTGTGTCTAGTTCACTGCAAATAACAACCAAACAATTCTGATTGCGCGTATTTCGTTTGCACAAAACTGATCCATCTTCGTCTCAGGCATGTATCTACCACAATCTGACGAGCATTCAGCTCATGTTCACTTGAAACTGAAAAATAAAATATCAGTGACGATGAACTAACCTCTCATTCAAACTTCACTCTACAGAAATGACAATTTTCAACTAATTTGCACGTTTAGTAAATCATCCTAAATGACGCTAATCTCTTTTGCTTCAATTCCAGATGACATGAATAAAATGAATGTATGCTCAGCATTTCACTTAGCATTCAACCTGTGTAGAGAATCTATCAAATGTTCCATATTTGCACTTCCTGATTAGATGTTATATAGAAAGATGGAAAATTCTAACCGAACAGTTTTATTTCGTGAAGCGATAATGTGAACATTTCGAACGTATGTCTGAAATCTGCTTTCACACATGACATCACAACAAAAGAAACAAACAACTGTCAACGTGAAGAAATAGGAAAAAGCACCTCTCCACATTGAACACAATTTACTTTCAACGAGAGTGAGGAGAGGTTCAATTGAAATCTAATGCATGTACAGTGAGAATGAGAAAGGGAATGTTGAATGTCCATTATGGCATGAGCTGTGTAACATATGTTCTTTACTGCAGGACAATTCAGACTGCCTTCCCACGATGTGTGTTTCCTATTTCAAATATTACGAACGGGCAGTGCTGTCAAGCTCTCAAAATTATTTCTTCTAATATCTGCGACAACCCCTGATTAATCTCAGTTCGCAATAAAATGATATTTGCAAAATTCGTTTGTTTAATTTGATTTTCTTATAATGGAATATAATTTTTCTTATTTGGTAACCAAAATGTGATACAAATAAATGAGATATCGTTTTTTTTGCGGACCGAAATCTATGGTATTATCTTTGAACCCCTGTAGAATCCTTATTGACATCATTGGAAGCAAATAAACGGAGGTGCCGAGAAATTAAAGAAACGTAGTTTCTAAATGAGCGCACACTGGTATGACAAATTTACGACGGTCTTTAATCCCGAGTTACGGCCTAATCCACAACATCTACAATCTACGACTCTATATATTCGTTATCTCACCAGAAAACCGTACAAGACCGTAGATAAAACACTGATAACAATAGGTGGAGGAACTTAAGAAGACGTTATCTCTTTTCTAGAGATGATGAATCTTAAAACATTATCAGCAGTGAAATCATACATCATACATCATACATACATACATCAGAAAATAATTTCCATAGTGATTTTTCAGATAACTACAAGAAGCACGCTTTCGTGTGCGTATGTGCTCAACCGCATATTATGTGTGGAACATATGAGAATGTTCGTTCGACTTAGTAATTATTCTTGCAAACGAGCATAATTCTAACGGAAGAAATTGGTTAAGTTTGCCACAACAACATTTCCCTGTGATAATGATAAGGAAAGAGTCAAACATTTAAATGTTCGCTGGTCTTTATCTTACCCTTTCATGACTGACTGGTTAAGGCAAGAACGGAGAACAATGACGAATGTTTGGAGTTTATCATTGAATTTCCTAATGACGTTCATACAACTATTATCGTAACTAAAAAGCTTTTTTACACCACAGTTTGTGAGATTCAAAAAAAGTCATTATCGTCTATGCTAGTTCCTCTCGTTTACATTACACATTTCTTTCATTATCAGGTAAGTCGATAAAATCAGAAGATGAGATCAACACAAATTACTCGTTATTTAGGTAAATTATTATTATCAGTCGATACTGTTTCATACAAACAAAGTAAGGATTAAGTAAATATTCCGCTAAATATACAGTTTTCGCGCAACATTGTTGACCCGTTCTAGTGTAAGTTGAGACAAAATGCATTACTTTGTGTTGAACCATCTTGAGAATGAATGATCAGTACTTGGTTGATAAAATTCAGGGCATATCGTCTCATTGTTCATGCCTAACGATGTGTTGAGTATGCCTTCAGCTGTCAGCGAAATGTTGTACATAATTTACCATCTGACATTACTCAAAAAATCAACGTACATAATTTATAGAAACATATATATATATATAAAAACAAAAACTCTTATCATTTTTTCAGCGTTATGTCTTTTGGTGACAAAATACTGAATGCATATCTTTCGGATAACTAAACGAATTGTTTACATTTAACGTAAAAATATTTCAACAATGAATTTCAGTTCACAGTTCAAGTTATTTGTTTTCATAAACTTCAATCATGGTTATTATTTCTAAAATGAGCCGCACATTGCAGATTATCACTATTTTCGCTATTAATTATGGTTGTGTCGACATAATTTACAAGGAAATAATAACGCATTCACCGTCATACTTATTTTTGGCATAACATTGCTAGCTGACTACCTCATTATACTTTCGTTCATTTGCTGTCGCCGATTATTCAACAAACTGGATATATTTCACTGAAAAAGGGTTTGTGGACTTCACTGTAAAGTAACTGTTTTTGCAACTGCATCCAAAGTGTAAAAATTAGAAATCCTAATGACTTATAATTAATAATTGTATTAACTGTTTAGAGATTATAGTCAGCTGATAAGTTTTAATCGATTTGGCGTTTTTACTTGAGTGCTCACTTTCATATGATTTTCGTGATATTTTATCACTTGATTCATCATTTTGATGAAATATAATGGAAAAGCTTTGTTTTATATTATTCACTGTACCGTTAAATTACCTAATAGTACACGCTGAACAGTGTTTGAGCACTTGTTTTCGGTAATTTTCAGAATTATGCTGAACATGATCGGATATTTAAAGTTTTCCCTCGAGACAATCATTCATTTGATTCCTCAAATATGAATTGGTTGTTTCGACGTGCATCAATTTGTAAGGCCAGAATTACTTGTAGCAGCTTTTGAACATACTAGGCAGTCTATTCTACTGCAGAAAATATTTACAGGTTGTTTGACTTTGTAAGTTATTCGCTATTTATATCGATTGTCTTTCATTCACTGAGTGAGAGCACCGCTTACTTCGCTTTCGACTTATCAACTACATTCAGTCTGTCGACGGACACTTCGTCATGACTCATTGCTTTGAAATGAACCATTCGCTTTCTTTGCTTTGTTTCTACTTCCTAATTCTTATTTCTGTTTGCTTATTTATTTACAATATCAAATCACTAATCAAACCCCATTGAGATTGCAATATTTACTGTCGCGCAGACTACGTTCGCCTGAGATTGATATAAGGAAATTAGAAATCGTTCCTCCACGCCATAGTCTAAACCCAAGCCTTCAAACCATTTACGCAAAATAAAAAGCTGAAATTTTACCAAATATCTCGGTACTGCAATGTCATTCTTGATCCTATTTCCGATTCTCAATAAAAAATAAGTTCCTGATTAGTTTTGACACCATCTGCTAAGTCGTGATATTGTGTGGGCGTTTCTTTTGTCATAAGACTTACTATTTGCAGGATTATTGCTATATACATTATGAAAATGTGATTGGCCTCTTTACATTTATTTTGTAACTATTTGTTTTCAATTAGCAAATCAATGTAGCTTCTTCTTTCTCAATCACACTGGACCAATCGGCAGTGTTTATCGATGGTATAAAACCAGATGAAAGAAAGAGTAGGTTCATAGAAAATGTTTTTTCCAATTATTGTTTTAGTAGTCGTAGCTTCAGCAATCAAATCTGTGATCCTGTCAAGTGGTATGTTATGATCTTGTTTATTGTTGACCATTTCCTTGAATAAGAAGTTGAAGTTATTTCATCGTAGTTGAATGTTGACTTTCGAATTCATAATCATTATGATAAAGGCTTGTTATTTCATTCAAAATCTGTCAGCTAAAAATGATTAATCAATATATTTGATTTAAAAATTGATTTTGATTTAAAAATAATATCCACATTAAAAGCCAATATTGAAGCGAACAAATTTTTGTATGGCATTTTCGCAAACGAGAAAGTTTGCATTGATTCAACGTTTTCGTATACTGTATCGTAAATAATCAACGTTATTACGGAATACAACAACAAATGTAAAAATGTTTTACATTATAAAATCGTTTGATTTTAGATGAAGTCAAGTTAAATGTTTTAATCATCATATATTATATTCATCCTAATTATAGATTATGACTTGAAGAGAAAAGATGTTAATGAACTTCTGTCTAAAGAAATAGGTATGTTCCATTTATATTATCTCATTAAGAATAAATGAATAAGCAATTCATTCACAGAATACAACAACAAATGTGAAAATGTTTCACATTATACAAGTGTTCAATTTTAGATGAAGTCGAGTTCAATGTTTCATTCATTATTACCGTTTACTCGATCAGTATATCATATTCATTTAAATTATAGATTATGAATTAATGAAAAAAGGTGTTAATGAAATGACGTCTCTTGAAATAGGTACGTTGTGTTGTAAGGCATTTAGGATTTATTACATGCGAACGTTTGATGTTTTATTGATGATACAACGGGTGGAAATAAATATTAGATTGAATAATTTGTTGAAAATTATATTTACAGCTTCCATTGAAATACAGTTTATCAAAAAACATTTGTTTCACTGAATTATATGTTGATGTCAATATATCGCCTCTAGCAGTATGTTTTGAAACATACTGATCTCGGGTGCATAAAGTAAAAAGATTTCTTTGTGCAATATACTGAAAAATGCAAATTTTTACTGATTAAAAATCTAGCAAAAATGAATTATTATGCCAAACAATACCATACGTCTGTGAATTATGTGAAACAATACTCTGGTAATTTCATCACATTGTAATATTTGATTGAAGTAAAATGTTATTTACTGGTAAAGCGATAATAAAAAATATCCGTAGACGAAGTGTAGTCGCCATAAAATTCACTTGCACCACTAATACTGTGAATAGGTTTGTATGCTAATGATTGACATCAAGTAGGTGATATTTCGAAAAGTTCAATTTTTATTGATTTTCATTTTCATTGAAGTAACCAATCGTTGGGTGAAAACATCGTTTTTCTCTTGAATTGTTTGAAGAAAGCAGCTTGACTTTAATCCACCAGACTGTTGTGCATTTCAGGTGATTCACACCTAAAAGTTATCGTGTCTTGTTTTTGTATTATCCAACTAATAGAAGGGCATTCGGTTAGATTGTCAGAGTGAATTTGAAACGGCAACGTAGAAATCGAATTGTAGTTAACAGTGTATTTACTACTGCTTTCTAATGGATGATTGTAAAAATACTTAAGAATACACAATTTTATTCAATTATTTTATTTGAAATTTTCTGCAGATACAGTCAATGAGTACTTAAGTGACGTTAATAGAACACTTCTTGTTGAATGTAAGTGATGAACAGTGACTTTTTTACTTTGATAATACCGTCAATTTTAGATATGGGATGTAAAAATAAACAAACGGAAGCCGAATTCGGAATAGAGCGTATTCAAAGTTAGAGTTGATTAGTATTTCAGTATATTGTTATTCATTATAAAACATTGTAGATTTCACGAGATTGAAATCAAACGTTCAGACATTTAATGAGGAAATACTTTTTTCTTATTCTGTCTGTCATTTTTGCTGTGAGATACTAAATACGAATACCCATTTCTAGTGCTTACGAAAAAAATTAGGAAAACGTGTTTGACACAGTTCCACGACAACCAGTTAAAATCGATGTCATTTTGGAAAACTAGGATGCAAATGTTCTGAAATGTAATCAATTCACCTCCTCCTTAAAATTGTACTGATGATAATGTGACTAAGGAAAATATAGGCTTCGCAATCAAGTTATTCAGATCTGTCTCACCTCTGTAAAATTATTTTTTTAATATATATTTCTAAGATTGTCACACTGTCATATTGTTAACACTATAGCTTTTGAAATCTACATTTAAAATTCTCAGCAGCAGATCTCTGCACAATCGACACCTATTTTAAGCTGAAAATTAAGCAAATCCGCCTGCATAATATACTTGTATGAATTCCCTCATGAATCCGAGAAAATGTAATTTCAGTATTTGTATTTTTTACAATGTAATGTTTACTGAATCGGGTTAAGTAATTTCTACGCCATTTCATTTATCATTCAAATTTTTTTTTGGAATTCTCTAGGATTATCAAATTTTATGGATTCCGCGATGAAAAAATACCACAGTTCGTTTCATAGGAATTATTATCTACAATAATTAGTATTCAGCTATTGATTATTTTTTAAAATCTTGATTTCCACAGTAATGAATTGAAAATATTTAAAGAAATTGAAAATTACATGTATTTAAATTTTCAGTATCTAATCGTAAAACGTTTCAAATATGGAGAAGATGTCTTCTTGCACAAAATAAAATTTGGGCAGGTAAATATAGTGAATTCATGAAACAGATTTTCTTTGAAATCGATAACAACCATGAATACCAACATCCATGAAACTCACAATTCTTTTTTTTTTTGTAATTTCTAAAAATTCAACAGAAATGAAATCTAATTATTCTCAAGCAAGATGTGATGAACTTAAACACATTAATATGACAAGAAGTAATGCAAATCATAACCTGTATTTCTAATCATATATTTAGTATAAATAATGAAATCACTTCCATGGAAATATCCTCAATTGTACAATCTACCATAAATGTAAATTTTTCTCATTAGTAGTTCAAACAATAAATAACAGTGATACATACATTTCGTCAATCAGCCAATCAGCCATTGAGTGCATAAAATGTCAATATAATCAAAAAAGGAGTGGCGAAAAATAGTTTAAGTTCTGAGAAAGTGATCAGCAAACTCTCATTTTCTTTTGGAAGTTAACAGAAATTTCAGTTTTGATAAACACATATTGAAGTGCAAAATTTGTGACTCGTTGTATTCATTTCAATCAAAAAATATTTGTTCGTTAGATGATCGAATTAACAAAAATTAAAACTCGTTTCCGTTTTAAAATCAGCTTTAGCAATCGTTCTACTGGATGAAGATTTAGCAAAAAAACAGAAAGCGCTTGCTGATATCAATCTTCACCATAGTAAGTGAAATTTTCTTGCGCTCATTTTTCTTCACAAAATACTCTCGAATCGATTTGAGATAGATTAACATTTAATTATAGCGAAATTATGATGAATTTCGCCTTGAGAGCTAGATAATTTCATTGTGAAGCTATCATTGATCTTTTGAACAATACAATCAGCACAAATGGCATTTGGATGTGAAGTACTTGAATTTCTTTTAGTTGACTTCACACACCGTCTCAACAAACTTCATTTTAAATGAACGTCCACCTTCACTTATCTGAATTTTGATTGTATCCGTCATAGATCAATAATGAGATTTGCCATTTCAACAATGATTAATCATCACTTAGGTAGACAAAACAAACTGGTAAGAAAATGCAGTGAAATTCAAAGACATCGATTCTACCTGTAGTTGTGGCTAAGGACATTTCTCATAAGAGCAATGAAAGTTCCACAGCTGAATCACACAACTCAAAGAAGGAAACTCTATAATAGTTGTCCATTTTACATTTTCAACAACATTATTATATTTTTGATTTCATGATTATTATCATTTGACACAAAATGGTATGCAAAGCACCAGTTAAGACCTAATGAGCATCGTATTATACAATCTTGACTGATATTATTTGTTGACATAAACTTGATGTAATTTATGATAATCTTTTCATTCATTTTTAGCCACTTTTCTGATACTGAACGATATGTATAATGAAATCTACAATATGCGTAAGAACAATAGTGGCTCATTTGTTAATTAAAACTCACAACTCGCCAATTGAAATTGTCGAAGAAAGTAGACATTCGCAATAATGTCAATAGACAATAGTGTCAGTACGAGATATCCTTATGTCAATACATTAAGTCAGTATGTATTATCCGCTTATGATGTTTGAAATATTAGGTAATGTTCTGTGATGGTGAAATTATTGAGCATTGACTGCGATTAGTTAATTAAACTTGAATGTCTTTTAGTTTACTTCACACACTGTCTCAACAAACTCTATTTGAAACGACTGTTATTGAACTTCCAACTTCACTTATCTGTATTTTGATTGTATCCGTCATAGATCAATAATGAGATTTGCCATTTCAACAATGATTAATCATCACTTAGGTAGACAAAACAAACTGGTAAGAAAATGCAGTGAAATTCAAAGACATCGATTCTACCTGTAGTTGTGGCTAAGGACATTTCTCATAAGAGCAATGAAAGTTCCACAGCTGAATCATACAACTCAAAGAAGGAAACTCTATAATAGTTATCCATTTTACATTTTCAACAACATTATTATATTTTTGATTTCATGATTATTATCATTTGACACAAAATGGTATGCAAAGCACCAGTTAAGACCTAATGAGCATCGTATTATACAATCTTGACTGATATTATTTGTTGACATAAACTTGATGTAATTTATGATAATCTTTTCATTCGTTTTCAGCCGGTAATCTGATAGAGCAACATATTTCTAATGAAATCAACAATATGCGTAAGAACAATAGTAGCTCATTTGTTAATTAAAACTCACAACTAGCAACTTTACACTGTCGATAATATTACACTCTTGCAATAATTGCATGAATTAAAAATATTAGGTTAGCAAGATTGAATGCAGTATTGGTGATCGATAGAAAATGTTGTTAGTAAGAAAACGTTCCATGTCAGAACATCACTTAAGCTCTAATGAACATAATTTTATACAATCTTGTCTTAGATTATTTGTTGATATGAATTTGAAGTAACTTTTACCAGTCTTTTCATCTCTTTTTAGTCAATAATGCGAAACTGAAAGATGGTTCTCATGAAATCAACAATACTGGTAGGAACGATAATAGCTCATTTATTAATTAAAACTCACAACTCGCCAATTGAAATTGTCGAAGAAAGTAGACATTCGCAATAATGTCAATAGACAATAGTGTCAGTACGAGATATCCTTATGTCAATACATTAAGTCAGTATGTATTATCCGCTTATGATGTTTGAAATATTAGGTAATGTTCTGTGATGGTGAAATTAATGAGCATTGACTGTGATTAGTTAATTAAACCTGAAATAATATTTCCGCAATTTATCTTATTTTTTTTGTAATTAGTTATTACTGAAATGATTACTAGAAAAATTAGTAATGCTTTTACAGTAAGCGAAGAATGCAATCATACTGAAAATTTATTATTTAGACATTAAATGTTCAATCATACAGACTACGTATCGATTGTATCAGACAATTCTAATTCTTAGATGGAATGAACTGATGTGTTAAAGCTTGAGCAAGTGTATTCGTTAATGAAAAATCTAGGCTAAATGATGGTGATTAAATAAAATAGAATACTTTATTGCAGCTGAATCTCACATCTTGGACAAAAAATGAATCTGCAATACCTAAGTTTTAGTAGTGGTTCAGCTCACATCAATCGATGGTTTCATCTTCTAATATTAAAAGTATCAATAATTATGGTAAATGAAAAATCTGAAAGAATTCCATCATTTGACTGAGTGAATATTGTCAATTGAACAATTATTATTTGAATGAACGTTCAATTTTCAATTTCCACTGTATGAATTTTCACCAGAATGAATGAATGCATAGTCATTTTAAGAATTTCCAAATTCAAATTGAACTAATTACGAAAAATAACACAGTTTTGTTCTATTTAGAAACATTTCCGTTTTTCCATTACAGATTCTTCGTCAATTTAACGAAACAGCATTTCAATTTGTTCAAAAATTACTTGAATAATTATTGAAATACAAATACTTTATGTTAATTGAAACAATTTACATATAAATAAAAGGTTATTAGCAAATTAAGTTTACTCTTCACTGTTGTTTGCTATCATTTTCATTATTTCGCATTGATCATCGTTTGAAGGTTTACACCATTTAAGACCACGAGATTTCCATCAAATGATTACATTATTGTGCTAGTTTGGATGGCATTAGTATGCGTTCTTGTGCGTGTAGTCATTCCTTCTTTAAGGACTGTGTTCAACGGCTGTTCCACCGAAGTTATTAGCAGATTTATAGATTCCATCCAATGCTCTTCAGTGATTTCAAGCAGGTCTAAGTGGAACCTTTCTTATTTACAGGAATGCTGTACAGACTGGTCTACCCCCAATTCTCATACACCACTCGATTCTTCAAATTTTCTATACAAATTATGTAGTCTGTCGAATCGATGCGTCTGCATCTTCTAAGGCTCAGTTTATAAATCAGACGTGAATTCGTGTTGATGAATACGTTTAAAAGGAACACAGCAAAATGCCACGCGGATTGGAGAAGGCTAAGAGCAAACTCAAAGAGATAGAGTATGACTAAGAATATAGAGTCAGATAAGAATAAGACGGACATATGACAAGCGAAATAGGTATGCACACACATGAATAAAAGAGACGAATGATTGACGAGGTCGAAAGCAAGCGATACAAATCATGTGAGTTCATGGGGAAATTAAGAGAATAACAATAAATCGAAAGTTATTGTTATACAAATGGCTTGGTTAAATAAATTAATCGAAAGGGCTTAACCAAGTTAGATGTAAACGGACTGGAATATATGTGGAGGCACTACGATAGCCCCACTCCAGCAAACAAGGATACTAAAGTGTCTGTGTTTGCGAAAAAAAATCAAAATAGTCGGAATGCATCAAAATTTACGAAAATTAGAGTTACCTTGTCCGGGTACGTTCGTAAGTTCGCATAGTAACAGAAGATCCAACATATATGGTAAGCGCTTATGAGCAAAACAAAATCGATTTCGAATAGAATACATGGGGAGCAGGTGTACGATACGAAAATGTAATACAAATGCTGCAAAATATTTAATATCGTTTAGGCATGACAGTTAAGACGGAATTCGATAATCGTATAGACATTACGGTAAGGCTCATCGATAAATTGAGTGGCTGCAGATTGGTGAAGAAATTGCGTTCGAGATTATCGTGGAAAAATTTGGAGAATAAAGCTGAGTACAGATGCGATGCATGGACATTAAATGCATATCGAGAACATAAGTTACTACCATCGAGTATATGACTCCAAACTTATGTGTATGATGGCGTTGCAAACCGTTGCCAGCGTTGGGGCAGTCGAAAACATGCGAATATCAGCGTGCAGGAGGTTCGCTTGTCTGCTTGAACTGCTGCTTCGTGTGCATGTGCGTAAGGTCATACCACCAATTTACTTAGCAGGTTGCAAGATATTCGAGGTACGAACAGCTGATGAGTACATAGAGGATATCTCCAATGCGACAACCGTATAGCCACGGAAATATTAAAGGACGATAATGGTCGTTGAGCCATTGCTTTGATCAGCGATTCGAAACATAATAATGCGATACGGCAAAATAAATGGAATGAACTCACCTTAATCATGAATGTCGTTCGTGTTATCGAAAGAAGTAATAATAATTCCGTGAGTTACAAATGTCCTGCCGTAAACAGAATATTCGAAATGCGATTCGATTAGCGATTAAGATAATTCCATTATTGTCATAATATCATGATTAATCATAATAATGGTTCTTTCACATTAATACGATAATGATAGCGATAATTCGAGAAATATATTAATGCGACGAGTTGCTACATAATCAAAATGACGATAAGATAATGCTTGATTCGTTCAGCTAATGCATTAAGTATGAGAGCTGCTTTGTCGCTGCATGGCGTCGGGATTTCCAGTTAGTGGTTCTGTTCGATTTGTACTCGAAATTACCAACTGGTCGGTTATATTCGATTTGTCATCGGAATCGTCGAATTATGTAATGAAAGTTTACTGATCTTCTGTGAAGACGTATGGACGAATGAATCGAGCGAAGCAAACAGGGAGTGATATGAATGAACGACGGGCTCACCATTTGTATGGTGGCCAATTTTGTTAACGTCGGGATCAACAATTTGTGCACACTGGCGAGCGAATGCGCGGAGGAAGCGTATGGAGCGATGCGGAGAATGGCTAAGAGCAAACTCAAAGAGATAGAGTATGACTAAGAATATAGAGTCAGATAAGAATAAGACGGACATATGACAGGCGAAATAGGTATGCACACACATGAATAAAAGAGACGAATGATTGACGAGGTCGAAAGCAAGCGATACAAATCATGTGAGTTCATGGGGAAATTAAGAGAATAACAATAAATCGAAAGTTATTGTTATACAAATGGCTTGGTTAAATAAATTAATCGAAAGGGCTTAACCAAGTTAGATGTAAGCGAAGTGGAATACATTTGGAGGCACTACACACCTTAAAAATTCTGTTGCTTTGGTAGTCATCATGGGCACATGCCTTTCACATTTGAAGGAAATCTGCCTTCATCCTGAATGATGATTTTTTATTTCGCAGGGTAGAGTTAATTTGTTAGAGTGAGCGAGTTGTTTTTCAGCGGGCTTAAGTCATCAACCGCATACCCAATCCTTCTTCTTTGTGCAGGCTTAATAAAAACAGAAGTTTCCAGGTAGCTTCAGGCTGAGTTCATTTTTATTATAATACATCTTTTTTAATGAAACGCAGACCTTCAATTTCCTGTAATCATGTTCTTGGTTGCGCAATAAGTTCTTTGGTTAGAAACGTGATACCTTTGTCCTAATTTATTGCTATTTGAATAAACGTTGAAGGAAAATTCAATAGAAATAGAGTTTTTCTGCATAGAAGATATATTACACTTTAGCAAAGTGAGATGTTAAGATGGATTTGAGCATTCTACAGGATGATTAGTTATCCTTATCTTTACTTCAGTAAATGCTCATTCATGTTCCATTTCGAATATTTCTGGTTATTGCAAGTCAAGGTTCGTTCAGTCACTTGGTCGACGTTCCTAATTTTTATGATTTTTGTCGCTGAGCTAAACTGCACAATGAAAATTAATCGCTTGAAGTGTTGTAATTATGTAGAAGTTATTGAGGAAAGGAAAAGTGACGAGTTGCACCGGGACCGTAAACTATTAAAATTATCGGCAATCAAAGCTGGAATAGTCAAACAGTGTTTGAAATATTTCAAACTGAAAACAGAAATCTTACTGAATTCTTGATCACAAAATTTATTAATCAATTAATGAAATGATTAAAGATTGATCAAATAAAATGATAGGCATTGAGTATTTCCGTTTAGTCTTACAGTTCTTCAGTGCACATGATCGGCATTGTTGGACCTAGCGAAATAAACCTTTCAAATTGTGGTGGTCAATTTCCACGTGTTCTTAATCTTCGTAATTAGCTCGTCTAGACAATCGTCGCTAAATAGCGTCTGACGGTTTATAAATCAGGAGGTAAACTCGAAGTGTTGGATACGTTCATTTTGACACAACACAAATAGGGATAGCAGACCAAAAGCAGACAGGGCAGGCACACTAGCGAGTGAATGTGAGAGTGTGCGAGTGTGTTATTAAGATTAAGATGATCGTATATATACATAGGAAAATGTCTGAGTCATCGTGATATTTAAGCGATCAATATTAAAGCGAATAGGATGCATATGCGCGTAGGCGTTAAGCGATGCTCAGTCATACCAGCTCATACAAACCACACAATAATAAAAGCCAAGGGTACATATAAGTTATTGTTATACAAATGGCTTGGTTAAAGAAATTATTCGAACAGCCTAACCAAATTAAATGTAAGCGAACTCGAATATACGTGGAGGCACTACAACATCTTCCTTCCAGCAGACAAGATTAAGAATGTGTCTTTGTTTGCGAAAAAAAACCGAATTGTCGGAAAACATCAAAAGTTTCAAAACTTGAAGTTAACTTGTTCGCATACGTTCGCGAGGTCACAAAGGAACAGAAGATCGAACAAAAGTATAGCGATGTTTTTAGGTTACATCTCAATTTCGAAATACATTTATTGAAGGTAATCATAGATAAGTTGGAATATTTTTGACGTACACATGGGAAGCAAAAAGCATTGGTGTTCGAAGTGGCGAGAGGAATTATCAATTCAAAATCGTGGCTATATATCTTCCGGCCACCTGACACTTCGTCTGGTCGCTGGTGGGCTTCCTTCGCTTTCCTTCTTTCTTGCTTCGGATGGTTGGAGTTCGGATTTTAATGGATCAATGGCTTTCGAAGTGTTTGCGCTTATTGGCTATTCGTCGCTTTCGATGAAAGCTGGTTTGACCCTGTCGATGCTAATTACATCCGGTTTTCCAACTTTATCTACTGTGATAGTTTTATCGTTTTTTTCGATAACTTTGAATGGACCGTCGTAGGTCGGTTGTTAGGGAGGTCACATAACATCCCTCCTAATAAATACATGAGTGCTATCGTGTAGTTGCTTCGGTATATATACTCGATATTGATTTTCCTTCGGAAGCGTGATTCTTAGATCTCTCATGTGTTCTTTTAGACGATGTACGTAGTGAGTTATATCAGTCGGAACAACCTTACCTGAGATGAACAACTCTCCTGGTAGACGTATGGTAGTTTCATAAACTAACTCTGTAGGGAAAAATCGTATGTCTCTTTTGAAAGCCGATCTTAAACTCAATATGACTAATAGAAGCTTGTTGGCCCAGTTGTAACAGATGCTTTCGGTTGTCGATGTAATCTCTCTAAGAAACCATTTGCAATTGGGTGATAGGAGATTGTACGTATACGTCCAATGCCAAGGAGCTCTGTTAGTTGTTGAGAGAGGCGACTTTCTAATTGAGCTCCTCTATCAATTGTGACATTAGCAGATACGTCACCACGTAACAGATCAT